ATACCAACATCATGCACTATCAAGCACTATAACATACCAAAAGCGTGTCAAGATCGGTGACATACGTGCGGACGAAAATTTAAAAAAGTATTATTTTGACCCATATGCAAAATAAATTTTCATTAAAGTACACTATTATAATTTTAAAAATGAATTGATGAAACATGGGGATTTGTGGGCTACTCTATTGATGTGAAGAAGCTTTTAAAGATCGGTTTGAGACGAATTTTTTTTCGATTTCTTAGAAATATCTCGTTTAAATCCATATCTGTGGTGGAAAGGGAGAACTGACCAATTCCATTTTCCGTATTTTCGAGGAAAACGTGTTAGAAGTTGCGTGTGAGTGCGTAGCTAGACGCGAATGACTATAACTCTGTACCCGTGATATTTTAACTTACTATGGATGTACCTTTTGGCCCATGTAACTATCAAATTGATAAAGTAGATGCGAAGCGAAAAAAGTGGACTTGGTCGGTTTCATCGGGAAACGTCTTGCGCCCAAGTTCACATGCTCAATTTCTAAGTCGCTATATAACCATCAAAACCCACCTGAAAAAAAAACTAACAAGTGGATTCGATAGGAAATTTCCTCAGCTTTCTGATGGTAATATCAGATTTTCAATATCTCGAACATCTCACATTACTGCTGCGTCAAGTGCCCTAACGGTCGCAGTGCTCCAGCAGCATCCAATGATGTGAGAATTGTATATCGACGTTCCAATATCATATTCCATCATTTTCAAACCAAAGTTGATTCGATATAGCGTTGAAGGTTTCGCTGAGATGGACTTGTTCTGTTTGGACGGTCACTGTTTGTCTCAAAATGGACTTGGTCGGTTTGGCATTGTGCTGTACCAAACGATAGATACAATTTCCGGTCATTCAGACACTTGCACATCAAAGTTGAAACTAAAAGTAGGTGTTTAAAGTCATGAAATCGATTTCGAAAAAAATGGAGTTGGTCGGTTCTCCCTTTCCACCACAGATATATATTATGTATTAAAACCATATACAGGGTGCGACAAAAGTATGGAAACCCTTGGAAATATCGCAGAATATTCGTTGAAAAAAATCAAAGACCCCATATTTTTCGACGAGAAATCCGATGGTGACCTTGAATTGAACCTCCGACGTAACCTTGAACCCTTAGCGACCCAAAAATCGATTTTTAAAATGGATACCCCCACTTTTTATAACAGATTTGTAAAGAGCGAAAAATTTCACGTTCGACTATGTATTTTGTTTTTTTTTTTTTTTTTTTAAGGTAATTTTGGAGGTGGTACAGTTAGAAAAGAAGCCTTTACTCGAACTTAATTTTAGGTTAAATGGGGGTTTTATTTGCGTCTGTAACGCTTTTAAAATGACCTTGAAAAAAAAAACTAATTACATGTTTCAACGTAAAATTTTCCGTTCTCTTCAAATCTGCAATAAAAAATGGGGGTATTTACTTGAAAAATCGATTTTTGGGTCGCTGGGGCTTCAAGGTTACGTCCAAGGTCATATTCAAGGTCACGATTGGATTCCTCGTCAAAAAATACGTCTGATATGAGATATATTTTTTTTAACGAATATTCTGCGATGTTTCCAGGGGTTTCAATACTTTTGTCGCACCCTGTATATTATCCATATATAGTTGAATTTTAATTCAAATTAAAATCGAGTTACCAGTAGTAATTGAACACCACACTAAAAACTACTGAAAAAAATTGATTGTTTAAACGTGTCCATGGACTACAGTAATTAATTTATCAAAATTAAACAAACACTATCGCGAAGTACTCTTTTCAACGAGTAATTAAAAAAATAGAGAGTTTTGAAGGCATTTGAAAATTGAGAAAATTTTGAAGAAATTTTTTGTTGCGATAATTTTGTTGAGTAGTGTAGTTATGAGGTAGGAGGGGGGAGTAATATTATGCCAAAACTAACTACGTTTCTTAATCTGAACAATCATAAAGTGCAATTTTTCCTCATTATGTGAATTCGTTTTTTTATTGAACCTTCAAATGACTTCGATCTAGATTTTCCAAAGCTCACGCAATAGGAAATTTTATTTTCAATAGATCTTGTGTACAATTGGAATATTGAGATGAGCAAATCCAAGATTTAAATTGTAATATTGTGAATCAAAGATTTGATTTTGAAAGAGTTGACAATTTTAAATAAAATTTAACTTTATCAATTCATTACCTTAATTAAAGGTATTTTTAATAAAAAATGCATTGATTTAGGTTGAAAGTTTTAAAGTGATTCTTCGGATAAATTAAATGATCATAAATTTTTTCAATATTGTATAATTTATATTGGCTATGAAGGTGGCACCTGAACTACAACGCTTCTGCTAATAAAACACGCCAATAAAACACGAATATTTGCAAAAAACGTCAAAATTTATTAAAAATATCGTTGACGTATTTCACTGAGTTTATTAGCCTCATCCAGAGCGATTATAAGTAGCGAACGGCTACATGTCAACTGAGCGAAAGTTACATATACAAATACATGAGTTCGTGTAAATACAATTATTTTAAAATATTGAATTACACTCTATTTAGCTTGTCAATATCATCTTTCTTCTTCAAAACAATACGTTGCTTATTAATATGGATCATCTCCGAGATCATTCTAGGCCAGTAGTTCGTTTCTCTATCCAAGATCTTGACATGCTCCTATATCATCTTGTGGCCCGGGTTGTGTAGGGTATGAAGCGCCTCCACCCGATCTTGGTTCTTGTTTTTACAGGCTCGTTCATGCTCCTTGATTCGTATTTTCAATGGTCTTTTTGACTCGCCTACATAACGAGAATCACAGGTGTTGCATTGGAGTTGGTAAACTACACCGGTAGTATCCATTTTTTTCAAATTTAATGAGGCTCTTTCGATAATTTTAAAGATGGACCATCTTCATGAAACCTATATCAATCGATTCGTAAGAATTGTACAAATCATTTAAAAAAAATATATATATGGGTAAACATGCTTGTTTCCGAGAAAAATGACTTTGAAAATCGCACTTTTAACACGGGGCTCTTATGGGAGGTCACCTATTTTTGTTAATAACTTTTCGTAGAAATGGACCATCATGATAAAAGTAGTATTTCCTGAAAGAAAAAATTATACTAATTACGATAGGATCTTGAGAAATTGGGGTAAACATGCTAGTTTAGAAGATATTCCACGTTGAATGTTCGGTTTCGTGATGCACGCTGAAACGACGCGGCACCCGCGTAGTGGACCTATGTGCGCGAAATTCAAAATCGCCCTAAACTGAAAGTTACAATTTCAATTGACGAAAAGTATAAATTTGTTTTAATTTCATAACAAATCTATTTAATTATTAAAAATATAGATACAGAAATTGTTTAAACAATTTATTTTATACAAATTTAAAGTATATCAGCAATACAGACGATGCATCAGCTGACAGCTCGAACTGGAAATTGAGCCGCGCGGCGCATGCGCACTGCCGTGCGTACTGCATCATGCATGATCTCGGCGCTCTCTCACTGTGAGAAAACTTACACCGAAAGAGCCTCCTTAAAACCTATCTGTTATTTGCATTTTTTCATGTAAGTGATTCATCCTGAGATAGAAAATTTCAAAGATTAAAAAAGGGGTGTTAAACCTTTTATTCATGAAATGTGAGCATAAAAAAACATGAAACCGGTGATATGGACTTTTGAAAGGGAAATAGCTAGAGAATTTTTCATTTTTAGGTTCAAGAAAACTTAAAAAAGCTCAACAAGAAGGTTTCATGCAACTTGGAACTAACAAGGAGAGCCTTTCATCTTTGAGATACAGATCTTTACCAAACTTGTTTGGGGGTCTTCTTGTACATAATAATAAAGCCCCCTATAGTTACTTTATTCCAATGGGCCCTGGAAACCATTATAAAGCACCGTGAAGTAAATAATATAACGTAATGTATAAAATACCCTATATTAGAGTATAAGGGTATCAGGTTTACTCAGTCAAGTCTAACTGACTGAGAAGTATTTATACTTTAAGTTTTTAATGTCCAAAACACCTTTTCAATCCATATACAAATTAACTCAATTGGTTTGCTATGTATATTTTGAAGAGCGCATTAATAGTTTGGTTAATTTTAGATCAAATTGGTACGCTCTACAAAACTTACGCAGCAAACCAATTGAGTTCAATTGTTTATTGTTTGCAAAAGTGTTTAGAATGCATAAAATTTCATGTAAAAATATTTTTGAGAGAGTTAGACTTACAAGGCCTGATACCAATAAGTGGTATTTTTTAACATTATATTATATTTAATACTTTTTTCTGCTCTATAACTCTTCTCAGGGCCCATTGGAATAAAGTAACCATAGGGGGCTTTATTATTATGCACAAGAAGACCCCTAAACAAGTTTGGTAAGGATCTGTGACCCAAAGATGAAAGGCTCTCCTTGTAAAAGATACCCTAATAATTATCTACTTTTTGTTCATGGGCCAAAATACTTCAAAAGTAAACCGTTGAACATCTCATGAAAAAAGAAGTTTGATAAACTACAGCTGCTGCTTTGTAGCACAAAAGTCGAGATGTCACCCATTCTATCGTTGAATCAAAGGCAACCAGATCAAGTTCGTCGTCAACTTCTTCAATGCGTTGCAGCCTCTGACTTCACAGTTGTAATACTGTGGTATTATATCAACAGTACCTTATCTACTGAACATTTAACAATCCTTGGCATTATATCAACAGTACATTATCTGCTGAGCATTTAACAATCCTTGCCACAAAGTATTGAATCGGATAAATGAAGCTCACGATACGCAATTTCCACTTTTATTAATATCTGAAGTTCTAGCTGCCCAATATAATTCAATAAAGAAAGCGATGTAACGGCGTTATAAAATTACTAACACTTCCTGAACCACTGGTTTAATTTAAATTATCAAAAATAAATTAATATTAAATTAAATTTATGGATGCTGATTACATCATTATAATTCAAATTAATATAATTGAAATAACAAACATTGATTTTTTAGCATTCGCACTGCTCAAATCATCATATTGATCATGAAGAGAAATCTGCAAAAAATAACAATTTTAGAATATCTAGATCACGCATTAATAGTGCAATTGATGTCACTGGAGTCATATCACAGGTAATCTTATAATTTTTACTTGAATGATAAAAATAAAAAATACATCATTAAGGGAAGAAAGTTACCTTAAATATAAAAAAAAATATCGATTTTTTTATTTTTGTTTTTGACGGTATTTTTACTTAATTTTCTAATGCTGTATTCAAAAATTTTAAATTCTAACCATTGTAAGATACAGATCCTTTAGAACAAATAATTTTATGATTTTTTCAGTCAAATTATATTTTCAGTCAAATTAGATTTATAAAAAGAATACATCCATTTTTAATTAAAAATTTGAAAAGAGCAAAAAAATTCACTTTTGAATAGACTTGAGTTTTTTAAAGGTCATTTTAAGGGGCCTAAAGACTCAAATAAAACCCCCATGCAACAAATTAAACTTAAGTAATTACCTACTTGAAATACTAATCAACAACCAGGTAAAAATTTCACTAAGCTATCATGAAACCTATATGAAGGTACTAGATGTACTCAAGGCCAAACACACTACCTCAATTCGTAAACGAATTTAAATAATTTAAGAGCTTACCGGAAAGTATTTATGAACAATTACTACACTCAAGAACACGCATAGCGCGTGCGAAAGAGACATAGTTACACAACGCTGCATAGACGTTACAAAGACTTGAACATCAAGTTCTTATACGTGTCTACTGATATATCAGTAGACACGCGCCCAAGACTCGGCAACCGAAGTGGCAGCTGCCAGTGCGGACCGTACCGAAATACACTATGCATGTAGAATCTATATTCTTATGATTATCGCGCGCTCTTGGGACGTACGTAAGTATATGCTTACGACTTTTACAGAACTACACCTTATACCCAACGCGTTTAGAGTAGTTTTACTTCAAATTTGAATTCTATACGTACCAATGTAAAATAAATAAGGGATGCAAAGTTTTACTGCGTGGTTACAACCACCCGTTGATCAAAAAAAGTTCAACGCTGCAATAGAGAAATGCAGACACTCAGTTAAAAACATTTCAAATATCAGACAACGGATTACTGAATTGCTGTTACCTCTATTCTTCCCAAAAATCAAGACTCAATCGAATAATCGAGACATTTTTAAAATCACGAAACTACTAAATACGATTGTCAGCTTTGAGCCACCACATAAAAAAGAGACTCTCCCTAATGTCCAAACTGCCAAGAGTTTAATCATAATAAAAATTATTGCAAAAAAGCCTGTGTGTGTTGGATGCGCCAAAAAGCACAATACAAATGACTGCCCCATCAAGGGTAAAATAAATGAAGTCATTTTCATAAATTGCTGAGGAAACCATTCAACTAGTTCAAAAGCTATGCTGTTCATAAACAAATTCAACAAAAACTTTTTCTAGCTCTTCGTGTCAAAAAAAAAGAAAGACCAAAATGTTCTCCCTAGATTCGCGTCGAAAAGAAATTTAATAAATAATAGTGTTTTCCACTCAAAAGTGGTATCTAGGTCAGTCAGCACAAATAACTCAAATCAATTTCCTCTGGAAACAATGGCCGAAGAAAAAGCAATACCATAAACAATAACATCTCAGCTATGTGCAAATTCTACCTACCACAAAATGATTGTCCAAAGAAAACTGGGATAAATCGGCAATTTTGAATATTTTTATCTGAATGTTTTTACAACTTCTTTACAAAACATCTTATTTGATTTCAAAATCAATAAGACTTGCCGTTTTACAAATAAAATTTTTTTCCCTCTTTATCGCTTCTTCCTGAGAAGGCCTGCAGGAGGCATAACCCGTACGCAGAAAAGACTCCACTATTCCCCTCCCCACTGTCTCGTATTTGCCCAGGCTCGAGGACCTGTGGGACAAGAGAAACCGGGGAGTATACCCAGTGCGTATGCTTTTGAGGGTACATCCACCCTCCACGAAAAATCCACCCGAGACAGCCCGAGCACATCGGGTTCTCATCCGACCGAATGACAATTGGAAAAATCCGAATGCCCTCACTAGGATTCAAACCCACGGCCCCTCGAACGGACGTTATCTCTATACTTAGCACGCTACGCACTAAGCCAATAACCACTCAATTTCAAATTAATATTTCTTTTTTGAAAGCTATTTAACCCCTTAATTATATAATCTTTTCTAATGGGAATGCTAGTAAAATAAAATAACAAGCAATTCAATATGAATTTTCGTATGAAAATTTTTCAAATTAAAAACTAGATCAAATTTTTTACAATACTTTTATTTTTAGCGTGGATTTGCATCACAACTCTACAGGAAAGTTCACAGTGCAGATAATATTCGTTTTTCTTTACATAATAATCATGATTCGGAAACTCAAATTAACGATTTAAATTCTAATGAAATAAATTGTTGTCAAGCCTTGAGTGAACGAAATAAACAGGATCAAAATATAGATGTCAGTTTGCCACCAAAGAATTATAGCAATCACAATTTTGTTTTCTTCAATGCTGAGTCCAACTTCATTTCCCTTCCAAATGAAATGAATGGGTAAGTTATCTCAAAGAAACGAACAAACATACTGTTTTTTTATCTATAGATTATATCGCCACAACAGGGCAAAGTGGGAAACCGCATATTAATTAGTTATTAAACTCGAGTGGCAAAAATGTGCCTTGTTCGCGTACAGTGGAAAAGCGGGACTTGGTGATACATAGAAGCAAGAAGGTGACTTATTCGATCGCCCCGGCAAAAATGTACATGTTCTCCGTTGAATCTTTTTCGTATCGATTTTGAGTTGGCAATAAGTTTCAAGTTATTCTTTATTAAAGAACGTACACCTAAATTATCGTTAAAGAATATCTTTGGATTATCTGTTGGAGCAACATTGGGGGGGGGGNGGGGGGGGGGGGTCTTGCGGCTTTCGCCTAGGCAAAAGAAGAAATGCCCAAGATTGTAGGACATACCCACAAAAATATATGAACTTCCTAAATCTTAGGCATTGTCCGCAATACCTACAATTTTTTAGGCAAAACCCGCAATGCCTAAACAATTTTACGCATTACTGTGAGCTATTAATTTTAAGTAAAAAATTAATGTAAAGTGAAAAAGTACGCATTTATTTAAATACAAAAGTCCAAGCTCACTTCAAGTTAAGCTTTGTCAAAACAGTTAAATAATTAGTTATCATTTGTCACAGCAACATAAACTATTGTGGCACTTGGAATTGCATAGAACGTTATTTTTTCGACACATGCATATCTTTGTCTTACAAGCACCCACCATATCCGGTAGCAATATGAGCGGGTTTAATGATATCAAAGACATCTTCAAGCGGTACATAGTATTTGTAAGGAAGTGGACGGCCAGTACAGGGTCCGGCGGTACTTCTTCCTTTTATCCATATCCTAAACCCTTGCCGAAAGAGAGATCCGAGTATCGCGAGCCCGATATGAAACTTGGACCGGCGCCGTTTACAAGAGCGCCGAATCCGCAACGAGAGAGTCGCGAGAGACGCGACTCGTGTGTATGATCCGCGCGCCTGCTGAGGACAAGCAGACGAAAAGCTGTCATAGAAGGGAGGCCTAATTGGCTGACGGGCCAACGACTGCGAGGCTGTGCGAGCACTCTGTGCTGGTCCGCGCTCAGCGACGCTACTGCTGTAGTCCTTTGTCGGGTTCGGTTGTGTTGTGTGCGTGCGAGCTACCTGCTGCAAATCCATTAACGCCTGGCTTTCCTCTCGTCTGCCCTCGCTTATTTGCAGCTCAATTTGGCCTGTATCACCTGCCCGAGAATCTGCGTCATCAAATGTAAGTCGCCCACACCTCTCTCGCGTGCGTGCGCCATATCTTCTGTTATTGTATAAGCTCGATCTCTCTCGAACGTCGTTCTCGTCTAGCCCCGAACTCACGACCGCCGTATCTACCGTATCTAGCCACGGTGGCCTAATTTCGTGTACTTATTGTATCGGGAGGATATCCTATGTCGAACGCGTGTCCAAAAACCTTATTTATAATCCGTCGATTCATTTTTAATGTATGATATATTTAGGCGTCACATTCGTGACTGGCGCCCTTTCTTACAATAAATCAAGCCTAATTATTATTGTTATTTCTACATGATCGAGTGGATTCTTTCGACACCCCGACTTTTCTCCTTTTTTACAGCACACGAAGATCTCGCCGAACTATTTACTTGCGTCCCGAGGACGATCTTGGTGATAAGTCGGTTCATACCATCTACTTCTAATACGTCGAATCGTTTTGCACTTCTTATTTGCTGAAGAGATTTTTTTGACGTGAATTTGGCGTTGAAAACGTCTATAATGATTTTATTCTAGCCTCAGTGACAAACTGCCCTTTCCAATTATCGATTTCAATTTCCATTTTTACTTTATTTTAAGTTAAGTAACTAGTGAGAGTTTACGCTTGTATCCGTATTGGGTTATAAACAAAACTAACAAATAAGTCCGGCTTAGATGCTGACTAATCGCATACTAACATGTTAATGTTCACAGTAATGCCTAAAATTGTTTAGGCATTGTGGGGTTTGCCTAAGAAATTTAGGAATTCCCTATACTTTTGTAGGCATTGCGGTTTTTGCCTAAATTCTTAGGCATTTCTGTTTTTGCCTAGGCAAAAGACACTTTTGCCTAAAAGCGGGTTTTGCCGGTAACATATGTGTACAGAAAATATATTTTCTTAATTTGAATTGCCGCGTTCATGTGTTACGCGGGCTCTTCTCAATCAGCTGAGAGAGGGCAACTCTACTTGTGAATAGATGTACGATGTATATTGTACGATAGATGTTTGAGGGATATAGTCGACACACATAAACATAAATTGTCGTTTTTCTTTTCGCAGGTACGAGTTTTGTAAATATTGTAACTAATTTGTTTAATTAATAAAAACCCCGTAATTATGTTTGCAGAACAACACAATCTACTGTGATAGATTACACAGGCACACAAAATAAAAAAAATGCTCAGTTTCAGAGACTAAACCCAGTAGACTTTATGTTTTCGGGGTCACTGAATCCGAATCCGTCTTGTGTTTTTACCTATAAATGAAAAACATGAAAATTAAGGATTACTATTATGTTTCTGATGTAAAAATATGTTTTCCAGGTCCTTTTAGAACAAAAAATGTGCCTGTAGTTCCTCTTATTATTGAAAATCATCCAACAAACATGTATATTGACTTGTGATTTCTAAGTCATTGACCGCATGATTTTGAATGCAATTTTTCACCAATCTGAATCCTTGCTCTCTCGAAAGTTTCGTAATAAAATTCTTTTCCACTCAAAAGGTAACAGAATTTTAAAAAAAGGCTTGAAAAATTTTTTTCATTCTAAAGTACAAAAAAATGACAAAAATAGCTATTTTAATACCGCTTATTGCTATATTTGGAGATCAGTAGATTAAAAAAATAACTAAATAAAAAATCTGCTACACTTAAGTGGAAAAAAATTTTATTACAAAACTTTTGAGACCGCAAGGATCTGGATTGGTGAAAAATTGCATTTAAAATCATGCGGTCAATGACTTAAAAATCACAAGTCATTATACATGTTTGATGGATGATTTTTAATAATAAGAGGAACTGCAGACATATTTTTTGTTGTAAAAGGACCTATAAAAACATATTTTTACATCAGAAACAAAAAATTTTAATAGTAATCCTTAATTATCATGTTTTTCATTTATACACATAAACACAGGTGTGTCCCCTTAAGGTCATTTGAAGGTCATTTAAAGGTCGAATCATGAAAAATAGGTCTAAATACTCGAAACTGTCCCTGTATAGATTTTTGAGGATGCTGAATTCAAATCTAAAGTCAGATGACCTTTACGACCTTACCTTCAAGGTCATTTGAAGGACAAACTTAGAAAATTCGATATAAAAATCCGAAAAATATCTTTTTTATGTTTTGAAGGTCACTGAAATCGAATTCAAGGTCATTTTGACTAAATTTAGACATCTACAGGTCATTTAAAGGTCGTTACGATCTTACCTTCAAGGTCATTTCAAGGTCAAGTTATTGAAAGGAGGACAAAACTTGATGAAATTATGTTAATTTCGTATGCCTTTTTAATTTTTCTTTTGTAACGCCCCTTGTTTTCTTCAAACGATCGGCATAAAGGTTGCCGTCTGCGTTTAGTTCCTCTATGTTCGCTCTCCCTCTTCAACATACAGCAGTAATCAGCCATCGTTGCAACATCCCGTCTACCTTGATTTCGCTGCTCCATAGGTTTAACGTCTTGATGAAATCGTTCTCCTTGCTCGTCGCTAAAATCACCAGAGTTTTTTCGAGAACTCATCTGAATGGTTATGCAAGAATTCAGTTTATAAGACATATTACTAGAGCTCGGATTATATGCACGAAAAAAATCCAAAATATGCATGCAAATATGCACGAAAATTTAGACGAAATATGCACGAAATATGCATGACAATTTTGCTTTAAAAAAAGTAAATTTATATATTTTATTGAAATATGATATTACATTCCATTTCAACGAAATTTTTTATCATTGTTGATATTGAAACTTTGTAGTCATCGCTCCCGAGCTAACCCATGCAGTTTTCTGAATCTCAGTCATCTTAGTTGGAAAATTATCATCTTTCAGCAATTTTCTTATTTCTGGTCCATCGAATATTCCTTCTTTTAATTTGGCATCAGATTTGTAGGAAAATTTAGATTTCAAATATTTGTAGCATTCATCGCTCTCACTCAAAGCTTTTACCAATAGTTTCATAATGCCCAATTTGATATGTAAAGGAGGTAGTAAAACTTTTTTAGGGTCTACTAACGGACTGTTAATAACATTATGATGTCCAGGTTCTAGAGAATTTCTCTCAGACCAATTGTAGTCAGTATAATAGTCTTTACGATCTCTGCTGTCCCATTAGCACTTGAAACATGGGTACTTTGTAAATCCAGATTGATGTCCTGCTGATGGGAGGGGGGCAAACATAGAGGAAATAAACGCAAACGACCACCTTTACGCCGATCGTTTGAAGAAAAAAAGGTGCGTTACAAAAGAAAAAGGTAAACAGGCTTGCAAAATTAACAATATTTCATCAAGTTTTGCCCTCTTTTCATTAACTTCACCTTGAAATGACCTTGAACTTGAATTTTTACAGGTTACTCAATCAAAAAGCTGAATTACTCAGCTCCGAAAACCTATACACAATCTTTTTTCGATACTTTATCGTTTTCACTACATTTTATCTTGAAATGAGCTTAAAATAACTCAGTATAGTGAAAATGAACTTTGTTTCAAATTCAGCTATCCTCAAAACATAAATGTGATATTTTTTGCATTCTTATATTCAATTATTTAAGTTTGACCTTCAAATGACCTTGAAGGTAAGATTGTAAAGGTCATCTGACTTTAGATTTTAATTCAGCATCCTTAAAAACCCGTGTAGTAGTTTTTTCCCCAATTTTTTAACCTATTTTTAATGATGGGACCTTCAAATGACCTTTAAATGACCTGTAGATGTCTAAATATAGTCAATATGACCTTGAATTCGATTTCAGCGACC